AGAGGAAAGGTAGAACTGAGGGGATTGTACTACCAGAAGGCAACATAGCAGATGTTGAGGACAGCTACAAGTACCTTGGGATCCCGCAGGCAAATGGGAACCTTGAAGAGGCCGCAAGGAAAGCAACCACCAAGTACCTGCAGAGAGTAAGGTAAATCCTGAGAAGTCAGCTGAATGGAAAGAACAAAGTCTGGGCAATTAACACCTACGCCCTGATGGTCATCAGGTACCCCGCTGGCATAATAGGCTGGCCGAAGGAGGAGATAGAGGCCACTGACATCAAGACAAGGAAGCTCCTTACAATGCATGGCGGGTAAATGGTCTTATACTTGTATAGCACTTTTCTACGCTTTATAGCACACTCAAAACTGCTACACTACTTGGCCATCCACCCATTCGCACTCCCAAACGCTCACACATTCACACACCGGTATTGTCACCAGGAGCAACTGAGGGTTCAGTGTTTTGCTCAAGGACACTTTGACATGTTTACTGGACAAGCCGGGAATCAACCTGCTAATCCTCCAGTTAGGAAACGACCCCCTCGACCTCCTAAGCCACAGCCGCCCCAAATCCAGTATCCTGAAACTGTACACTAAGTGGAAGGAAGGAGGCCGAGGATTAGTGAGTGTCAAGGTGAAGGTCAAAGTGTTTATTTGTCATATGCACAGTTAGGAAACATGTTTCCCTGTACAATGAAATTCTTACTTTGCTGTCCACATGAATGCCACACAATACAAATGAAATATATAGTAGATGAATAAGTAACACAAAATCTAAGGCACTTTAAGCAGCAAATGCAGCAATATAATAAAATATATAAGAATATAATAAATGTATGTATGTATGTATGCTGCATGGGAGCAGCATGCGCAGTAGTCAACAGTCAATGTGCAATTATGCATTTGCAAACTGAGAGCCACTATCCAGGATGAAACAACAAAGATCCATGAATACATCAGGAAGATAGCCCCGAGTGATGACGTGCTTAGTGAACACCTCAGGCAGCAGAAACCAGAGTAACAAGGGAAAGAAGAGCAGGAACCTTCATGGAAGGACAAACCCCTGCACGGTATGTACCACTGTCAGATAGAAGAAGTGGCTGAAGTACAAGATCGACAGAGGCAGGCAGGACCCCAGGTGCAAAGATGCCCCTGAGACAATCCAGCACATAACAGCACATAACAGCAGGGTGCAAGATGCTAGCAGGCAGGGCATACATAGAACACCATAACCAAGTGGCTGGCATAGTGTACAGAAACATCTGTGCCGAGTACAGGCTGGAAGTCCCAAAGTCAAAATGGGATACACCTCCAAAGGTGGTTGAGAATGACCAAGCTAAGATCCTGTGGGACTTCAAGATACAAACTGACAAACTGGTAATGGCCAACCAACCGGACATAGTAGTGGTGGACAAACAGAAGAAGATGACCGTCCCCGTGGTAATAGGAACATTGGGGGCTGTGACCCCAGAGTGGCTCCAACAGATCCCAGGAACAACATCCAAGATCTCTGTCCAGAAGAGTGCAGTCCTAGGAACAGCTAAGATACTGTGCAGGACCCTCAAGCTCCCAGGCCTCTGGTAGAGGACCCGAGCCGAGCTTGAAGGAAGGAATATAAGACCGACCTAAAGTGGCGGGCAAGTGGGGAATTATTATTATTTTTTGTATAACTTGCCACAATATATTCTTAGAGACAATGTAGAAGATGAGCTATGTTCACTGAATGCTCTTTAGAGGGATGTTTGAGAGAATATAATTCACAGTCTGTAAAAGGCTACTTTCAGAACAATTGATACAATGGTGCGTTAACAGGTAACACACTTGAGTGAAGAGAACATAGCATACACACACCTACACACACAAAGTCGTTACAACCCACTGAGGAAATAATGTGTTTTGAGTCACATTATCAATCATTACTGTTAATGGAGATGGAAGTAGTGAAGTGCACCATTCTCCCATTTCAGTGCAGGAATCACTTATTACTCATCTAAACTCTTTTTCTGGATTAAAGAGGATTTCCTTTAACAATGTAACTGCTCAATTTACCACCACACAACAGAAAGAACAAGGATCAGTGAGGGAATTCCAAACCAATGCTTCAAGTAAAATGCAATATTTGAATTTAGTGCAAAGTTTCAAAAGGATAAAGTCCAGAGGAGTCATGGTTTAACATAAAGTAGCATATGTTTTTCTTTAGTCAGCACAATTGGATTGCATAATTCAATTTCTTTTTTTAAGCAACTTTTACCACAAAATATAAGCTCATATAGCCATCAGATAAAAGTACCTACATACAAAAAAAAATGTCTCAGTCTGTGATACAAGCAGAAAATTATATTTAATGTTCAATTTCATCCCATCTCCTCCTGAACTATAGCAGATCGGTAGCTGGGTGCCAGGCAGAACACAACACATACTGGAGTCAAAGATGCGACTGCTGAACAAGTGAAGTCATCATTTACACTTCTCTGCAAGAGACAGGTCATCCTGTGGTCCTGACACAAACATGAATCTTCCTAATCCAAATAAAGCCATCCCCAAGCATGTCACCTACTGTATAAGTGCTCTAAAACAGAGAGCAAAGAGCCTAAGAGGCTGTTTATTTTCTTCTCTGACAAAAGAGGCCATAGAAAAATATCAGAAGTTAGAAGAAAATGGGGCCATGCAACAACAAAAAAGGAAAGATAAACAGCATTAAAACACTGTACTTCACAGACAACAATGCAGTTTATTAACCAAAGCAAAGTCAGATGACTTTGCAATCACAGAATCTGTATCTTGAATTATTATCTTGAGCCATTTGCCTTAGTATTTGCAGCTAATTGGCATAAAGAGCCTATGTTTTACCTATCCCATACATCTTCACACTTGGCCTAATGCTATTTGTTCACACCCTGATACTCTGGTACTCAGCTGGGGGATTGGTGGCCCACGTATAGTGCAGTGCCTGTCAACTGCTCAGGGCCTAACTCCCGCTTAGTGCATCATCACTGGAATCCTCAAATGAGGCACAGCACAAATGCATTCATCTTCAGCTGAACAGCAAACCTCAGGGAGTTTTTTTTGTGCTGCAGATTATTACAAGTAGAGCTCTGAAACCAGAGGGTTTTTTACCTCTATGTGTAGTGCTTCAAGTGCTATCACTATCATATTATGTGGGTGTTGTGTCCATGCTGAAGCTGTATTAGAGGCCCTCTTGTCTTGCTCATATCTAATTATGTGATGCTTCTATGCACAGTTTGCTTTTTTGTAGTGAGATGTGTCAACCATGTGGACTTTTGCAGGACTATTGTCAAATTTTCAGTATTGTACAAATGCATTTTTTTTACATATTGTAATGATAAAAGCTTCTGCCTCATTTTTTTGATACAAATCTTTCTTTACTGCTGCATCTCTTTGATAAATCACCATTCTACCAGAACACTTAGGCTACTGACCACAGTGAAAACACTGTGAACCTCTGAGGCTTTGACCTGTGATGAAATTGAAGACTTTTGTATGCTGTGTACCAGTCAATACCAAAGAATAACACAGTTTGCTCTGAAGGCAGAATCCTGGATTATTTCTGGCGAGTGTAATTTCTTAAATTGTTGCTCATGCCCATCTATCCTAATCAATTAAAGGGCAGCTAGGCCAAAGGAGCAATTTAGAGCACTTCAGATGTATGCCATTGCAAGTTTGAGGAACATTATTTAAGGCAATATAGGACCTTGGGGCACAGTTTGTGTCAGAATGTAATGAATCATTCACTACTTGATTTCCACAGCTTACAAATCAGTCCACAGATAACAAGTAACAGAATGGTCAGTAAAAGATGACAGTGAATTAAGTGTGAACAAACAAATACATTTGGAGTAACAAAGATCCAGCAGGCCAGATGTTGAGAGCATCTGGAGGTTTATAGCATTTAAGCAGTGACACATGAATGCTGTTCTTCACACGGCAGAACATTTCACTTTCACCCATGTATCTGGTATAAAACTTTGAGTAGTAGTAGTCATATTCTGTGGGTGCTATATAATTGGCAACTGCTTGCTCTGGGCAAACTCTGGGTCCCAAAACTATTGATAATGAGTAACACCAGATGCCAGAGTTGGATGACCAATGAGCAGTGAGAGGGATGGAACTGATGAGTGTGCCGTGAGGGGGTTGTTTATCTTTTTGCCAGGGAATTGTGTCAAGCCGAAAAGCCTTCAAAATTCATCAGATTGTGTTCTTGTTGTATTCTTATTTGCTTCCTTTACTTGCTGCTTTAAAGTGCCTTAGATTTGTTATTTTACTGCCTATTTAGATTTGTGTTATAGCTCATCTACATGCAAGTGTTCACATCTGTGAACACTTAAGTTCCAAGATGCTGTTAAATAATCCTGTCCATTTTAAGACTGTATTCATCAAAAATCTAAAAATAATCATATTATTGACCTAGCACATGGAATGAAATAATGAATAACATACAAATGATCTGAAAGAACATAAATGCTTTCTGTGGTAGTCTGATCCCATAGTCTTATTTGTAAGAAATCAATCAGTAGTATTTCTAAATACTGCCTTATTTACACTGTAAGTGCATACAAAGCTTTTCCACTCTCACAGACACAAAATAAACAACAGTGATCATTTTCAGAAAATGTTCTTGTCAGTGTCTGCAGATACTGCACACAGTGAACAGCCCACAATCCCAGCAGAGACATGCTGCAGCTGCTGTGCTGGTGCCTCTTAGATCTTCAGGACCTGGCCGGTGTTTTTCCCCACTTACATGCTGCAGGTTTGTGAATTAAAAGGCTTCACAGTAAATAATTCTTGTGTTGCAGTGGATTGCAAAACCTTTCTGTAGGTCTGAATTAGTGTTCTTGGACCTGTACCAAGAGTCCCTGCAGCCGAATGAAGTAGAGAGAAGAATTTTCTTTGCTGCCTAACACCAGCAGAGGGGGGTGTGCTCAAGTCAGGAGCAGCATACCAGAGTGTCAGCTGATGCCTTGGATGTTTCTGAGCAGCCACACCCTGAAATAAGAACAATGACAAAACCACAATGACATATTAACAATTTGAACATAAGCAGTCTGCTACAATTGCAGTATATCACAGATTATTGCTTTTAAACACAGCCAGGTTGTACAATTAGTACTGTTTTAAGATTAAATAATCTACTTCTGCTTGTAAACATCAGAGATTAAAATAATAATACTCAGATACGACATTAACTCCAGAAGCTGATACCAGATAACGACGATGAGCACACCTGGCAGTATGACATTTATAATGTTCCTCACTAGCACTGCCATAGACTTTCCCAAGGGGTTTTAATTGAGGATTTTACTTGTATTAGCTGTCACTTAGGAAACAAAACTGAAAAACATACTGCCCTAGTAGAGCCAAGTGAATAGCCTCCCTCCTGTGCAGTGCAGGGCCCTAACATTTGTAGTTGTTGTTTTTTTAATGGAGAAACAAGTTAAACAAAGCCTTTATACAGGGCTTTGTGAAATAGTCTGAGATGAATTATGCACTGGGCTTTGATATAATCCCACAGGGCCTTTTCTCTTTTCATTAGAGCTCTATTTTTTCCAAACATGTATTCTTTTATTAGCGAGAATGACTCCACAAATTCCTTTAATTCAGATCAGTACAAGATTAAAAAACTCACTGTATGTGATTTATCTGAGGCCGTTTGTTGACTTGGTTTACCTCATGTGCTGATTTGGCACTTTGATCTCTTTCACATGTAACATGTCTATGTCCATCACCAAACTGATGGGACTGGACAGGAAAAGTTTTCACAAATGCAATCTGACATTAACGAATGAATATATTGTAAGTGCAAGCACAATCCATTTTTTTCAGTCAGAAAGTCATTGTCAGGCGCAAACACAGACATTCACAAACACACGTGTAAAACGGCCCCTTTTCCTAAATGATGATAAATAACAAATTCATAATTAATTAAATGACGTTGTAGGCTACTTCATTGCCTAGATCTATATCTCTGTCTCTGATAACAGGAGAGGCATTTAGTTTAAACTCTGCCGCCTCTACTGTAGCTCGGCTGCATTTATTAGAGCACCGCACATAATACAGTTTACACTTGCAGCGCGCCATGATCTCGCCATTTCGTTGGATAAACGGGTTATAACAACGGCGAGACACGGAACTCATCCATATTAGAAGAGTCTCTCATGATCTCAGAACCGCCAGGGACACTCCTCTTGTTCCCGGCTCCAACTGCTCCGCTCCTGTATCCAGTCGATGCACGGGGAGGACATTCATAGACCCATCTTTATCGGCATCAGCATCAGCATCGCCCCGAAGACAAAGAGAACACTGCAAATGAAGATGCGCTCTAATAGCAGTAGGAGCCAGTCTTAAAGTCACTAATACTGTAGGCGTTCCCGCCTGGAGGCAGACAGGCACCGGTCCTTGGAGACTCTTCGGGGATGCGCAAAGATGTGAGAGTAAAGAGTGAGAGGCATTGTGATTGGCCATACTCTTTCTAAAAGCACCAGATACGGCGAGTCATGTTTGTTCTAGACAGAGCACTAGGTGAGGTGGCATCAAACTTGAAGGATATGTGTTTTCAGTCTACACAGTCGATGCGTTCACAACATCAGTCATAAACTTACATTATTTCCCTAAAGACGTGGACGCGCTTTTTGTGGTGCTGAAACAGAAAGACTTGGCTGATCAACTAGTGAAGAAAAGGAAGGCACTCTCACTTACCCACCTGATTCTGGGCTTCATGGTATTTGGGAGACTCATTAAGGTGAGTCCAGCGCTAGATGCGGTGTGCAGTAAACTGCAGATGCCTGTTTTCAATCACATTTCTGTCATATTTCATTACAGCCTCTAAAGTCACCAGTGTCGCTCTGGCTGTTGTCTTTATTTGTTGCCCTGATGATCTGCATATGTTTTATTCTGAAGTTTGATCTTGAGTATGGCTACAAAGTTACAGTGTCGGTCACTTCTGGTTTGTTTTACATGTTCAAACTGTTGAAAAGTATTGATCCACAGATGTCACAGATTATTGATTTTGCTTGTTCTGCTTTTCAAAATGTACTTGGGTGTCCATTCATCTGTTCCCTCCAAACATTTTAGCCTCAGAGTGTCAGAGTTAATGGAGTGCTTGCCTTTCTCCTGTTCTATTGTTTTAGGTTCCAGTGCATTTAATAGTTTATTTGCCTTAAAATAAAAAATCTAACACTCTCCATTAGTTAAGAAATAATGAGACCTTGATATCATTGCAGAATGATTCATATTATTAGAGTGACAATGAGGCATTAGCTTTAGTGGTTGTATCACGCGCGACATGAGAGAGTTTTTTTTATCTTTACTTTTTTTTGGACAGTGCCAGAAGGAGCCTGGTTTGTGTTGGTCTCTCACTTTGTTGCCTGCTGGTACCTGATAACTTCCTTCCTTGTGTTTCACAAGCTGTCAAAATTAATTTATGTCTAGTGCGTTTAAATAAAAATGTCATCATTTGTAGTGAGGGTCAGTGATCTATGCCATAGTTGCTAATAGTGTTTGTTTTTTCCAGCCTGATAAACCTGTGCCTGGAGTACAATCAGAAAATAGAAAAGCTCAGCACCGAGTTTGTGTGTGCTGCCGCTCAGGTGTCACATTGGATTGGTGTGTTCATTGTACAATAAAAGTAGCCACTGCACAATAAGTGCCTCAGGCATGTATTTTGGGTCATACTACTATTATGGCTTAAATGATGTTGCTCCGGTATCTTGAACACAACTTTATATATTGGATTATATTACATTAAATTCAACTTTATTGTCATTACCCATGTACAAGTACAAAGCAACGAAATACAGCTTAGCATCTAATCGGAAGTGCAACAACCGCAGTGCAGAGTGTGCAGTATCTACAGTCAGAACTAATTATATATATATATATAACTTCCCCACTTGCATATATATATATAAAGATTTATCTAATAAGAATGTTTGAAGTTTCACTGTGTGCCACTAATGCAACATTTCTGACTTGTCTTCATTTGATTTTTCTCTATCTTTACTATGTATATCTGTACCCTTAAAAATGGTCAAAGATCGAAAAGGTCTTAAACAGTGTTGTAACTATTAAGTACTGTGACTTACTTGCTTTAATCAATTACCTTGTCGAGCGGACAGGGAGAGTGGGTGTCATCATAGCAGAGGACAGTCTGTGGGCTTGTGGGAGACTTTGCACAGAGCTTGAAGCTGCAGTAAATAATTTTGCATATTGGCAGCTCAAATCCATCCAGTCATAGACACTTTATATAAAAGTATTAGAGAGAGGAGATCTACCAGTATTGAATCTCATAGTGATTTTTTTTCTTGGAAATGTAACATTTAAATCATGGCAGATAACAGTTCCTGCTAGAGTCCATAGAATAATTTAATTTCAGTCTTACATGTTTTTAAAAGAAGAGAATGGATTTTCTTCTTTAATTTGGCCAGGTGGTGTAATCTAGTCTGAAGACAGGTATATTTTCACCTGCAAAGCCTGTTGTGATACTTGACCTGTGTACCAGGTTTTGATATTCACTCCTCATGCAAAGACAAACCCTCCACAAGATCATAAACAGAGCTATAATTGCTGGTAAGGTTGCTTGGAGACTTTAATCAATTAATGGGGCATCCTCCATCCACAGAGAAGGGGAGCGCAGGTGTCATCAAAGCAGAATGAGGCTCCTTTGAGGTGGGAAATGTGAGTCTCAGTGACTTCACTCAGCTGGGTCACTGGACACACAGCAGAGCTTTGACGCGTATAAATTGTGCTTGAAGATGCTGTGTTCATCCTGGAAGGCTCAGCGGCTGGCAGGGGACCAGCGGAGCATGGACATTGCACTCCAGATGGCCCAGAGAGGCCAGAGGAAGAGAGCTGTCCAAGCCCAGCTGGGAGTAAGGGAAGCTGGACTGCTGGTAGCACATGAGCCTGTGTGTGTGCGTGTGATTGTGGGAGGGGAGACGGGATGAAAGCATCAATAAAAGACAGAGCGAAAGAGGAATGTATGTATGTGTGTATGAAAGAGTGGGCGTGGGAGTGATTGGGAGAAAAGGTGGGAGTGAGAGGGAGAAAGTGAGAGCAAATGAGCTAACAGGCACCTGTGTGTGTTTGTGTGTGTGTGTGTAGATATGGAAGTAGAGATAAGAAAAGTGTGGGAAGGGGAAGAAATAAAAGAGAAGATGAAGGAGGTTGCATGTCTGTGCGGTTGTGTATTTCAGTGTGTATATGTGCAGTGAAGGAGTGACAGGGAACAGAAAGGGTTTGTAGATGCACAAAATGAAAGAGAGAAAGAAACAGGCGCGTGTGCCTGTGTGTGGGAGGGAGAAAATGAAACTTGAAAAAGGAGGCATGTGTTTGTTTATGTGTTTGTGTGTGATTGCAGAGAAAGCATGAGAGAAAAGGCAGAAGGGACCAAAAACAAAAATGAGGAAGAAAAAGGGAATGTGTGCATCCCTGGTAAAGTGAGTATATGAGGGATGGTTCCATGTTGGGAGAGAAATGGGTGCAAATGTGTGTGCTCACAAAGCTGCATGAAAAATGACACATAGACAACAAGTAAAATTGTATCTTATGTGAAAGATAAATAGTACTTCAGCTTTTCATTCAGTTACCTCTGACCCCTGACTTTTATCCACATGCTCGTACAGCAGCCATGTGACGTGTGCTCCTTGGTTTAAATGCTTTATGGCAAATAGCTTCAGACACATTCAGTCCTTGCTCCTAGTGAGAAGACATGCTCCATGTAGGAATGCTCTCTTTTTCTAATACATGTTACGTCTTGGAGATGTTGCACTCCTTCTAATATGAAGCCATCTGAGAACAAGTACAGAAAACATGACGAGAAACACACAGTGGCTTCACAGTCATAGCTTCACCTCACTGTTTTCATTTGGGAAGCCACTAGAGAGCAGGCAAAGCAAAAGCATTCTGATTTCATCCTGCCACATCAGCTTTGTCATGGAATGGTGCATAATGTACACTTTGATCACAATGAATTATTCCTATTCCTGGCTATAAATGTGGTTTGTCTTTGGCACCCAATCTCTTTTGCCTTAAACTAGGAATCTGTGCATGCTTCCGCAGAGCTCTCTCCTGAGTGTGTCCCTGCAGGTGTACTGCAGCTCTGGTGTTCTTGTGTGAAGGAACCAGAAGCACTACCTCAGTGAAAACCTTTTCTAGACAAAACTGTGATGTATTTTGCTAAGAACACTTATACACTCAGTTCAGTTTATTTTGTGCAGAAAAGTTATATATAAGAAACTACAAAAGGGCTTTGTGTTTCTTAAAGAATGAGGCTGATTACCTACCGTATGTTCCCCTTTTACAACCATCCCAGTGAAAAGATCAAAATGTGAACATGTCTGACTGATTATGTTAAATTGTCCAACAGCATTAACTTTGTTAACCTCAAACACGACATCTTTAAATGCAGAAATTCAGGATGTTCCTATTGTACCTATTTCAGAATTTACATACAACCCTATTAGCATCTGTGTTAGTAAGCAAACCACAGTCAACTTCAAAGCATTTTGGTAAACTTGACAACTCAGGCGCCCTGATAATTGCATGTTTTTGGTGAGCACCATGTATATCTGCATATTTTATTCGCAGCATCTGAGTCCAGCTTTAAACATTTGTTCATCTTTCTGTGACCAACTTTTGATATAAAGACAAAAGTGCTCTAAAAATACTAAAAATAAAATAAAATAAAATTTCTGTGAATGTCGGACAAGGGTATGTTATCAGGGCTGTCAGTTCAGTCCATGGGTGAAAATTTAGTCTTTCAGATTAAACATTCCCATCCATAATGCCTGCAGTCCACAGCATGCCTAACATAACTTTGTTCATGCCATGTCTGTCATGGTTTGGGCCTACGCGCTGTTCTATGCTTTTATTTTGAAAGTGTTTCCTGTTTCATGTCATCTGGCCCGCATCAGCTTTATTCTGGCCATTGATTTTCACTCATTGCCTTCACCTGTTGCTCATTGTCCTTATTCTCAGCCTATATATATTCTCCTCACTTCTTATGGTTAGTTTGTAGGTTGATCTGTGCATCACACTCTGCTTTGCTCTGGTTTTCCATGTTCTGTTGTGATTATCTTATGTTTTGTTTGCCTCCTGTAAGTTCTTGGACTGTCCCTGCTTTGGCTATGGCCTTTGATGATTTGGACTCTTGAGTTCTACTTTTGGTTTTTGATCTTTGTTCTCTTTATTTTATTGGTCTTGGTACATGTTTTTGGTTTCACTGTATTTGCTCCTTAATGGTGTGTGTGTGTATTCCTTTAGATGCTGATGTGTTGCAATCTGTCAGGTTTAGTGCTTCAGTTGATCTTTCATATTTATATTAAACTTTGCTTGTTACTGAACATTACTTTGCCTGCATTTGGGTCCTCCCCTAGACAGAATCCTGACAATTTAATAGAACTGAAGTGTCTTTTAAACTGGTTAAGTGTGTGGTATTAATGTGACTCATTTATTTAAAAAGGCAAGTAGGTATGTTGACTTAAAATGGAAAACGTACTAGCTACCTCATATCATGAGTCTTTACACTATGGAAAATATTGACTCGTGTTTGTTAACCCTCCTTGTTATGTTGCGGGTCAAATTGACCCATGAACATAACTGCTTTAAATGAGACAAATATTTGATATGAAGAAATGAACATGTTCATTTCTTCATATCAAATATTTGAACATGTTCTTTTCTTCATATCAAATATTTGTCTCATTTAAAGCAGTTATGTTCGTGGGTCAATTTGACCCGCAA